AAAGATAGGTGGAGACAAGGTCACAATTGGCATTTATCATATAGGTAGCCCCTGGGTTAAGAACGCCCAGGTTACAGATGACTCATAGTTAAGAACAGAGCCTATTGTAGCAAGTTTGAGTTAAACACACAGTGATTTGAGTTAAATGCACAATGGTTCAAGTTCATTACACAATACTACTTATACAGTATTATACAATAATACTGTTCTGGCTTATATACAAATTTGACTTAAGGACAGACCTTGGGAACAGAACTCATTCTTAAACTGGTGACTACTTTTATATGAATAAATGAAGCAGAAGTAATGTATTCTAGTAGCTTGCCATTTCTAACAAGAAAAAGTTAATTTAGGATTATTGAAACCATAACAATATTAATAATATGGAATACAAGGAAACAATAGACAATTATGCAAAAGAAATAAAAATAAAATTCAGGAATATTACGGTTTTTACAATGGGTCCCTACTTTTGGGTGGCTGGTAAGAAGATTTTGAATTTTGAGACCATGCTGTGGGTGTTCTTACAAAACAGTTGCTTGGGGACTTATCTACTCACAAAATGGTTGCCATAGGGGGCATAACAAGTCAGAAAACACTAATTTACTGGAATGCTACCTGCCAATCACCCCAATCCCCTCCCTACCAATGTTCCTAAAGGCCTTGCCCTTTCTTTGGGCAGGTGGGAATGCTTAGATTAGCACAGAGTCACAGTTGCTAATCTTTCTTATTTTCTAAGATGACTTATGGGATCCATGGGGAAGGAAAATTATGCTGGATAGTAGTTCCTTGCTTTATTGCTAGTCCAGCTTCCCATTTTTTAATTACAGTTACTCCAAAAAAAAAAAAAAAGGGAGTTTAACTGGAAACCTGGGGTTACCAGTTAAGGTAAATATATATATAAAAAAGAAAAAGGATCCCATGAGACCGGAAGAAACTGTCTAAGATTACTATGGGAGTTGGTAAAGAAATGAGATTCAGACTAATGTCCCTGCCCCATTCCTGCTTTAAAGAAATTCTTTCCCAGATTGTACTGTTTTCCCAATTAATACATTAAATATATTTTTTTTCTCTCTCAAATATTGTATCTGGCTATGCCTTTAGGTGTAATATTTTCCTCACAGAGCTCAACTTTGCTCTTTGCAGCCATACCAACAACATGGCTTAAGACCACTTAAGAGCAAACTACACAAGACATTAGGAAGTTATGATTAGATGTCCCCATGTACACTTTTATAGTTAAAAATAACTGCAGGATTGAATTTTAGACTGAGGTTTCTGCATTCATGGAGGTGAACCCATTCCACTTGCACCATTCTCTAAATCACTGTAATCGAGTAGATAGTATCAACTATAGTGCAATTAAAATTAGAAAAATGGCCTAGTTGGAATACATTTAAATCTCCCTCTTTCAATATTGTGGTTCCAGTCTAACCTAGATTCCTGAGACAACTTTAAGAAGTCTCACTTATCACAACTAGTTCAAACTTGAGCCATTTTAAGGTAAATTATTTTGAATGACTTTTCAGAGTAAAATGGAATTTCCAGTAAAATGGAATGAAGATTAGGTGAATTGGGAACAAGGAGGCTATATGTTTATAGAAGAATTCTAACAAGAACACATGATAGTAGAGATTTGGAAAGTAAGTAGTGCTAGTACAGGAATTAGAATTCAATTTGGTTACAAAGGGTTGCATCAAAGGGAGATGTTTTTCAGTCAGAGGCCAAAGTATTATGGGATAAACACTTTAATAGAGACAGATCCCATAAATAATTTTCTCAGTGCTCATCATCAGACATCATACCTGAGGTTAATTTGAGAGTGGGGGAATTGCTTTTTTTCCAAAGTGATAATAGGATTTTGGACAAATTATAAACCTGACCATTATGAATCCAGTAGAAAACCAAGATTTGAAACCAGTCACATGAACACCAAAGAGGCCTTTTATTATTATGATTAGAATGGAAAACAAATGGCTCAGAAGATGGGAATAAAATATTGGCTTCATTCAGAAACAACAAACATCTATAGGAGTCTTTGATTCATGCACATTTTTCTCATTTCTTCCTGACATGCTGTTGAAAGTTGCATCTAAATGCTAAATTGAAGTTGACCATAACTACAGAGTTGAAGCAAATCAGTTCACAAACAATGGCTTGGATTTGGTTTGCTTTAATTGGTCATATAAGTGTGTCAGGTTCTGATGTAATATTTAAGTGAGCTTAAACTAAAATTAAACAGAAATTTTCCAAACTTCTGCCAATAGTGCCAAAGGATAAGAAGATAAGAAGGAACCCTTGATTATGAAGATCATCACCATGATTTAATCCCATATCATGGCTTATTTTCACAGACATAATGAGTATATTGACAGACCTCTTAATGAAATGCTTGATCAGCATCTGACATCAGCTGGAGTTCTCTTACTCATCATCTTATACATTTGCTTAGGAGTAACCATTAAGAATGATATGGTTTTATCTCTTCATTTTCTTTCCAGGAATTTTTCATAGATTTGGGGGTTTTTTTCCAGCTGAAATCATGTATCAGGCCTCTGATATTGAAGTTGATATTAACACCTTATATTCATCTTAATGCATTAAATCAGATTGGAAACCAGATTTTCCCACATGCAGTAAACTATTTTTTCACATATGCCCTTCAAGCAGATTGACTGTTCCTAGGATGAGAGAGAGAGACAGAGAAAAAGGGAGGGAGTTTAGTATGTAATATTTTATATTTGGTTTTATTTGAAAATAGGCCTGGGTTGTTTGTGATTAATCAGTGTTAAAATGTAAGTGAAGAGTTCACAGAAAAAAGTGCCACAGTCTGAAATATATATAAATATAAATATAAAATCTGTTCAGTGTCAATTGAACTTAAAGTTATAGTAATCCTATAGTTAAGGTGACTTCCAGGAACCACAACTAATTCCAACAACTATCATCAATTGTATTCCTTTTTTGTTTTTTGTGATGTGGGATTGTAATATAGGATACAACACTAACAATACCCTAATCATAATATTTGTAGAATATCACACTTCCTACTTTACAATTAATAAGATAAAGCTTTAAATCCTCTCTCCTGAATGTGATGCTTATTACAGAAACTTGGACTAACTTTGGGCAATTGAAAGGAACAATGCTAAGTGACCGGTTCAAAATTTCCAGATTTGCTATGTAGCGCATTGTAAAGTCATTCACAGGTCTTCCATTAGTGACCAAAAGGACTCAGAATGGCAGTTGCACTATTTTAAGTAGGAAGGAGAGATTCTCTGGTGTTTCACACTTGAATGGTCAAAGAAGATCTGCCACTAGTAGAAAAAGAAAGAAAAAAGTGGAATGGCCATGTATCCTTTGAGGAT